AAAATGTTTCATTACATTTATTTTAAAATTAAATGATAAAAAAGTTTATTATTAAATTAAAAGCATTGAATAAATAAACATTTATATTAAATTATTTATTGTTTTATATTTTAATTTCGTAAAAACATTCGCTAAAAACTTGCCAATTATTAGAAGTAACGGCATCAAAATCTTCCATTCATTCTTTACAAAAAACGAAATCGTTTTAAGTCAAACTGAATGATGAAAGTAAATATTTATAAAACAAGTTTTTCAATTGAAGTAGTTGCACTAGTTGTCAAGATAACAATAAAAAAATAAATAGAAAATAAACTTCAACAGTAACAATTTCAAAATACTGCTTTCATCGTCACATGAATGGAATGTGGCATTTTCATTCAGGTGTATATTTCCATCATATCCAATTTCAGGGCCAATGCCGATGCATAGGCTGCCTGTACCGATCAGCATTGCCCAAAAGTAGGCATCAGTACACCCCTAGTAATTACAACAATTTGAATTATAACATTGTAACAATAAATAAATAGCTTTTAGTAAGTTGTATCAAAATAAATGATATTTTGTATTGGTTTTTGAAAATGATGAACAGTAAAGACTTCTTAAATCAACTATAACAGCTTCTTCTACCTAAAATTGGATTGTGGCCCACATCTAAGGAAACTATGGACTATCTAAGGAAACTTTAAAAAAAGCAAGGCATTTTCAAAAAACTTTAAAAAAAAAATTTTGAAAACCAGATAAAAAAATAATGTTGCTATATTGGATAGAAAGGTTTATGACAATGGGATTTACAATATTATTATTGATCCAACTAAATTTAAACATATAAAAAAAGAAGTCATCATTAATATAGAAATGCAACATTTTTGATGGTTCGAATTATAATAAAATTAATCCTACAGGTTCTCGTCCTGCTTGCATAAATGGTCTTCCAAAAATGCACAAATTAAGTTATTAAAAAGTGTTATATTTAACATTTTTAAAAAAAAATTTTACATTTTTAAATTGTATAAACATGCTCTTATTAGTAAGTTAAGTTAAAAAAAATGTTTCAAACAAAAAAACTTTGTAAAAACAAAAACAAAAAAAATTGTACAAATAAATCATTCAATTGCAATGGCAACATTTAATTTAACTTATTCATAATTTAAAGTAACTTAAAAAAAACATCTTTAAAAAGATTTTTAGAAAGACATAGAAATATAGTTTCAAACATTTAAATTTATCATAAAAAATACATACCTAAATAAAAAAAATTTAATTGTAACATTTTTTGTTAATTTACATAAAAAGAGTTTATTGTAAACAATCATTATAATTAATTTTTTTATTTTATTTAAGGCCTTCATGTAAAATAAAAACTTTAGAAAAGATCAATGATTAAAAGTTATTTATTATGTAACAATTTTTTTATTGCATTTAGGTTGCTAAAACATCAAATTGTAAAAAAAATTATAAGTGTGGTCAGTTACAGCATGTGTCCAAGCCTGTTGGGTATGTACCTGTTGCAGGTACATACCCAACTGTTGAATTCCTGTCCTAAAAATGTTTTTAAAATGTGATTTTCTTACCTGTATTTTTTTTTTTTTTTTTTTTTGTAAAATTATGTTTTTTTCAAATATGTTTTTATAAATTAGACCTGCAATGCATTATAGTTGCGCTTGCTTAGAAGACTCCCTTAAAAAGTGTTAAGTTTATTATTATTGTCATAAAAATTTTATAAAGCAGTTTTACTGTTATGTAACAGTGTCAAAAGTAAAAACTGTCACTATCTTTCGATCAAGTATGAATGTAAATTACCTTTTTTTCTACTGTTTAAAATGATGCTTGTATGACAATTATCAGAGAGCTACATTTATAAGTTAATATTTTATCAAGCACAAGCAAGCATATCTATGGGTATATAAAATGAATGATTAACATGTTTATTACAAAGTAAAAATAGTTTCAGCTGCAACTTCTTGCAACTTTGAATCAGGTTCTAAACCTGAATATTTATAGTATAAGCCCTTTTATTTTAAAGGGTTTTAAATATTGATATTGACATAACTTTAAAATGATGAAAAATTTCTTGAAAAAATTTGAAATCTACTAATTTTGATGAAATGAGGATGATAAATATTTTGAAATTGATTTTTGAATAGTAAGTGAAAATATTCTTTTCACTTTTAAAAGTATTGTCACTTCATCAAGCCATTCTACTAGTAGAAAAATTGTAGACTTTAATGAACTTTAATGACTTTAATGCTTTTTAAGAACGGAATATAGAAAAATTAGTAATATACTATACAAAGAAGTTATTTTATCTCAGGAGTTTGATTAAGCAACACTATATTACAAAGCTGGATTTGGTGGCTTAACTAGGCAAAGCATTTATAAACAAAATTTATAAATGAAAATTTTTTATTTTTGACTTGTGATGTTCCTTTAAAGCTATTTACAAGTATAAATAAAAAAAATATATTTTATTGATAAACTTAAAAGAAGTATTCACAAAAGGAAATACTGGTGTGCGATTCACAATCTAAGATGATCTAATTCTTTTGCTCACTCATCAGACTGAATTGAAATTTATCTTTAGGTTTTATTTTATTTTTATTATAAAATCTTCAAAATTGTCTAGTTAACATAAGAAGATTCACAACATCCAGAATTAAGACAATATCAGAAACAATCCAATTGCTCTTTTCTTCAAAAATGTTTCCATCAATTCCAGTTTTCCATTAGGTGACAGTATTTGTCTTGAAAAACATTTCAAAATTTTCTTTGTTTATCAAGGATATGCCTAATGTTAGCTGGGTCTATATAGGGAGAAGTGTTAATAGAATATTAAGACTTACTATACCATCAAGTTACAAAGGACTGCATAGTTTTTAGCTAAATCAAAGTTGCTTCTAATTTTGTTTGAATCTTTTTTAAGACTCTTTTTTATATACAATATATATATATATATATATATATATATATATATATATATATATATATATATATATATATATATATATATATATATATATATATACACATACATACATACATTATTTCAAAACTATAAAATCAAAATTTTTTTTATCTAAAATTTTTATCTGACTTCCATCATCAGATTTCAATGATGGTGTCATTTCATTGATGGTTTTTTCATGGTGATGATGTTTCTGATTTGAATTTCTAGTACTATCATATTCTCTACTCTGGCTGTTGATAATTATCTGTCTGAACTTTTAGATTTTTATCTTCTCTAATCTTGCTATCAACTATTACCACTGTCTGATTGATAGCTCTGGATTTTTTTCCTAAATTGTTGACAGAATACACTATACTTCTGAAGAAATTATTGCTGGATTAAATGGATAAAGGCCCCATGATTTAAATCCTATTTTTATGTTGGTTTTTGCCATATTTAAGTTTTGTTAAGAAGACTTGCAAAATTTTCTTTATTATTCAAAGATCTTTTGAGCAGTACAGTAACTCCTTAAAAGATTTGAAAACTACTTACAAGGTCAAACTGCAGCAGTTGATTCTGATTGTCAAATGTAAAAACTTTTCTGTGTGAAAGTTATTGAGGAGTCACTTCAATTTTCTAGATAGATTCTAATTTTTGAATTTGAATCCTTGTTTTTCAGGTTATCAGCGTACTTTAAAAATGTTGAATTTGCAAAAATAGGTTGTCATTTAGCATCTGTTATCAGTATAATCTAACAGTCTTGCTTTCAGATCTAAAGTCATCAAACATTTTTTAACTCCTCCATTTGAATCTTGTCATTCAGTCTGGTATTTATGGTTGCTCTAGCTATTCCAAAACGCTTCGTAGCATCTCTTATTGACATTTTTGACTAACTGTTGCAAGCTTCTTTTTTTTGGCCATTGAACATTCGTTTGATTACTTAATGTTGACTCTTTACTTTTTGTTTTACTTTTTTTTTCCTTTACTTTCATTTTGCAGCCACAGAAACAATAACATAAATAAAAAAATGAAAGTATTCAAGACATATATTATGGTACCAGAGTGTTGTTGTACTATTTACTAATAATATATAAATTGTCTCCATTTTAGCCAGTCTGGACTTAATTCCAGCTTATGGTTATCTTTCAATTTAATATTGGGTGGAATTTTGGCATTTATTCTGAAAACTTTCTACAAAGAGACATTGATTTTGTGATAACTACTTTGTATGTTTGAAATATTTTTAATACTACTTTAAATGTTTTCAATTATCTTTTTTTTTTTTTTTATTTGAATTCACCTCCCCAAGGCCATGAAGGCCACTACAGTCTAGGAGGCTACTTTAGTTGTGGTTACAACCCTTTCTCAACTCTATAAATCCAAAACACAAACAAGGCCGCTGTGTGGAGATACAAGTTGTCTGTTTTTGGTAAATCTTTTCTGCAAGATGATTAACCTTTCCATAAAAACTTTATTAATTTTTTTTCTGTAATTTTTTTTGTCTTAATTGTTTTATTGTTTTTCTTGTCATGATTGTTTTATTAAAAAAATTTTTGTCATAATTTTTTGTTTTCCCAACGTCAACCATTGCAAAAAGCAATAGCTCAGACTTCTTGAAATAGATCACAATGTATTACATCTTTGCTACATACACTCTTATAAGATTGTATCAATCCTTGACTTGAGTAATTGTTTTTTAGAATTTTGAAAACTGTAGCTAAACTTGATTGCCCCACCACTCCAATTAAGAAAACCTTTTTGGTAGAATATTTAATAAAATCTTTCAAAATTGATTTTACCATAAATCTAACAATGAAAATATAAAGCAGTAGTATATCTAAATACCATTAGTTGTACAAGAAAAGAAAGAGATACAAAACCTTGTTATTGTTACCTTATGGTTCTGCAATGTATTTTCTGTTATTGTAGTTTAGAGAACTTTAAGGCCCTCTTTTAAAAAAAAATAGTTTTGTTATAAAATCAAACAATTACTTGTGCTAAAACTTAGGATGTTATTAGATATTTTAGGTAAATTTTTATAGAATGGTTTTTTTAGATGTTTGTATTGATACCGATGATTCTGTATTCCCGATTCTTGGTAAAAACATGTATAATGGATCAGAAATCAACATAACACGAGGTGATTATGCTCCTTTATTAAAAAGAGTTATAGAAAATCTTCAGAAAGCCAAGGTAAAATAATTGTTTTACATTTTTCTATGATTTTTCAGAAATATATACAGGGGGTCAGCAATTATAGTTTGACCAAATGAATGATCTAGCAAAATATAACAGAACTGCATACTGACATAAACAAATAGGACATCAGTATTAAATAATTAAATTAAAAATGTAATTAAATGGTTAAATAAAATAAACAAATTCGATCTCATAAAATATTAGTTTTATAAATAAAAAGAAATTAAAAGCTGCAATTAAATGCTTAAATTGCTTAAATGAGGAAATTTCATCAAATATTAACTAATTAATATTAGTTTCATCAGAATTAACTTTAACTAGATTAACTTATTGAAAATAGTTATTAAAATACTATTAAGGAGAAAAATAATAATTTTCTGTTTTTTCATGCATTTTATTAAACATATTTTCCTGCATATATACCTAATTTACTTTGTAAACAATAAAAAAATAGAAGTTTTATTTAGTGTTGACTCTCAACACAATTTAATGTTTTATTTTAATTAACTTACTTTAGGAGTTTGCTGCAAATACCAATGAAGAGTGTATGATTGATAACTACATTAAAAGTTTTAACTCTGGAAGTATAGATGCACATAAAGAGGGCTCACGGTTTTGGATTAGAAATCAAGGTCCAATTATTGAGAAGTAAGTTTTGTTAGATATATTTTTATTTTTAGGTATTCATAAAGTATATAATTTGTTTACTTGATAAACTAGTTGTTTGAATAGCAAATTAAAATCAATTTGTTATTATGCACCATAGAAAGTTTTTACGTAGAAAGTATTAAACAGTTCTAGTCAAAAAGATTCGACCACTCATAATTACTATAGATATTTACAAATGCAAAAAAATGAAATTAACACTCCAAAAACCAACAACATAATAGGTTGTTTGACTGTGAAGGACATTAAAATTCTGAGCTCACAAGTTCTTACTCAACTACTTCTTATTCAACTGCTTCCTAGTGTGTATATTAGTATCTGCAAACTGCAAAGTTGTCTCCCCAAGGTCGTTGATCTTCAATTTTACTGCATTAAATCATGCATTAAAGCCATGCCTTTTCTCAAAAAAAATATTTATAATGGTTATAATTGCCTCAAATATTAAAAGAACATAAGGATTCGATTGTTAAAATGTGAAAACATATCATGTTCTTCAAAAAAGTGCAAGTTAAGCAGTTTGTGAAGACATTTTATGTTCTTAGACAAAGCTTTGTGGTAACATTATTTTCTTAGACATGTTCTTAGCCAAGTTCACTTATCTGAAAAAAGCCATAATGAAAGCATGGCATCATATTCATTATCATGGAATATTATTAGTTTTCTATTATAGATTTTTATCATTCCACTACCTAAAGTTATCTTGTAAGATAACTTTCTAGATAAATAACTTATAATATAATAATAATAGCTTTTTATATTACTTTAGTTTTAAGTTAACTTTCACAAGTTAACTTAAAACTTTTAAGGGATATTTATAAGATGTAATATGCTTATTTACTCTTATAAAATGGTTTATTTCCATTTTAGTTTCATGTCAATTTTTTTTTTTGCACATTGCAATGCATTTTCAAATGGTGTAAGGAATACTATTTAAATGCTAGCATTTTTGAAAAACATGAAAAAAAAAATGATTTTAAATGAAAAATATGAAAAAATATGTTTAATAATGATTTTTTCATTTCTACTTTTTTTGTATAAAGTTTATCTTTATTTTTTTAAGATCAAGTACTAACCATAGCAACTGGTTTCTAATAAACTATGTAATATCTCTAGGCCTTGTTTTAAGTCTTTTAAGTTCAAAAATTATGATTTTGGTTAGGTTGTGCATTTTAGGGAACACTAAAAACCTTTTTTCAAAAGTTTAAAAAACTCTAAAGAAGTTTAAATATTTAATTTTAAAAAAAGTTTAATCTTTATGTAAAGAAATGAAGTAAAGTTTTAAAAACTGCACACCATTGTTACAAAGGTTGAAACAATGATTATGTAAAATATACTCTTTACTTACAAATAAAATAAAATAAAATTAAAAAAAAAAAAATAATTTTTGAGTATGTTAAATTAATTTTCTAATCCAAATAATCAGCATCAGAAGAAAAACTTGATGATTATTTTAATATAAAATTAACAGTAAATTTAAGAAAAAAATTTTTCCATTTAGATTATAAAAGAGTAGATTAGCTTTATTTTTCACTTTTCAACACTTTTAATAATTTTATTTTTATATAATGATTGCTTTTATCACTTAACAAATGCAGCATTTATCACAAGTATGTTCGCTTGCATAAAGTATATATAATAAAAATATAGCTTTATCCAATAGTACACTTGACCTATTGGATTTTAATTTTGTAGTTCTGAAATTATATCTATCTTCTCCAAATAAAAATGTACTCTGAATAGTTTCAAGGCAGCTTTAATTTGTATACAGTTAAAAGAGCCTAGAAGATAAATATCTTATAAAAGATAAATATCTTATAAGTTAATTTTCCTAAGTTTGTACCTTATTATTTTGTTTTTACTTATTAAATGTTTTTTATTGTTAGTAAAATAAATTATTATTAACATGAATCTCATTTAATAATGTTTTTTATTTTATTGCTGCATTTTTCTCCCCCTCCACACCTTTTATATAAGTAAAAATTTTCTTTAAGGTCAACTTATAAATGTTTTAATAAAAGAATTACTTAAATTAATAGTCTAATTTTTAATTTGTAAAAGGTATGTGTATTACTTTCCAGAAAAGGTAGGAATCAAACTAAATAGTTTTTTTTTTAATAAATAAATTATTTTATTAAAATTTTTATTAAATTTTTTTTTTTTTAAGTAGAATTTTCAAAATTTACCCAGATTAAATTGGTTGAAAAACGTATTTAAATTAGTTTTATAAGCCAACTTGAATAAAATGAGGGAAGAGTATAACAATTAAACAAAACTTTTAATAAAATAAGTTATTTTTTTAATAACTTAATTTTACTTTTTCACCAAAAACTTTGCTCCTTTTTTCAAAGTTTTGCTCATTTACACTTAGAAGGCTTTTATTCCCTCCTTTTTGTTTCATTCAAGAAATTTCTTGTAAACCTGTTTTAACACTGCATCAAAAATGTGCACAAAACACGCATAAAACTTCTTTTAATAACAAAGTGAAAATTCAAAAATTTTGTAAAAAGATTTTTGAATAAATTGAAAGTAAATCTAAATAATTTTTTGCTTTTCGCAACAAAATCACTGATTAAAATAACTTCTTTTTTCTCTTTCTTTTAGAACAATCAATTTATAATTTTTAGTTTATTACTTTTAATGTATGTATTTGCCAGAAAAATATTTAAAGTTGTAAACTATACAAATAAAAAAAAAATTCATGACTGGGGCTAGAAGAAGACAAACTTATTACCAAACCTTAAAAGTTGATCACTTTTCAAATAAGAAATTAAAATTACTTGCAAAAACATAATTTCAAATTTTAGAAAGAAAATACTTTGCACTTTTTTATTCAAAAAAGTTTTGACAAAAAAAGGATTATGCTATTTGTAGAGAAAAGAAAAAAAAATTGTTTTATGTTTTAAAAAGCTAGAAAAAATGTCCACAAATACAAAAAACAAATACAAAAGATCATAAAATTTCAAAAACTCCATTATACCTTATGCCTTTTTTTATTCATAGGCTAATCTGAACTTGGAGCTATTCAGAACAGTTTATTTTTTCTGACCTATTTTATGTAATATTCAAAAATTATGTAATATTCAGAAATGAAGCATTTATTTATTATGTTTTTTTTACAAAGATAACTTTTAATATCAAAAAATTTATGTAGAATTTGTAGGAGTATTCTATTTTTTGTAACTAGAAACTTTTCACCAGAATTTTGACATTGAAAAAATAGGGCTAATCCAAAAATTTACAAAGCTAATCCAAATTATTTTGGGGTTGGTTGGTATACTTTAGCATTTATTTAATAAGTTATAAGTAAAGTTAAAAGTAATTAATTTAATTAAACCTCATTCACGCTAGTAACTTAATGATTGTGGTTTAATTAAACCTCATTCACATAACTTAATGATTGTAGTTTATGCTTGAATAACTTTTTAGTTTTGTTTTTTTTATTGAGGAGACAAGTCAACCAAATAATTTTTCCAAAAAATTAAAGTATTTTTTTTACAGATAAACATTGTTGTACTTAGTTTCTTTCTTTTACTTTTTAACTTTTACTGTATTACTTTTGTAATGTGATTGACGGTGATTGACTGTGTAATAAAAAATAACAAAAAAAAAATAATGTAAAATATGCATTTTACATGATTTTTTCTGCCTAATATACTTCAGAAGGTATTGAGCGAAGATGATCTGCCTCATATACTTCAGAAGATATTGAGCTAGCCATTGTAAAGGTAAAGTATTTCCTGATATAGAGTGATGAGCTAGATGACAACCTTTTAATAGGCTTTGAGAAAAGATGGGTTTCTGAAATATCTAAAAAAACTCCAAAAGTTTTAACAAATTCAAGAGCCAATTCTTTTTCTTTGAACAACATAAAAAATAGTAAATTTAGGTTTATAACCTTTAGACATCAGTTTCTTTAAATAGCCTTTAGGTTTACAACCTTTAGACATCAGTTTCTTTAAACCAATAAAGCAAATTTGGATAGACATATTGGGCAATTTCTTTAAGACTAACTTGGCTGAAAGTAAACAGAAAAAATTTAGAATCTGGTTTTAGAGCCTTATGTCTATATCCGTTAGATCCATCAAAAGCTGATAAAAAAGTGCTGATGCAGAAAATACAAAAGATAATGGCTCATAATTATAATAGCAGCAAAGATAACAGCTATAACATATATAAAATAGCAGCTCATCTTGAACTTTGAGCTGCTATTTTAAAAAGATATTCTAACAGCTATAAGCAGTTAAAGAAAAGGAAGAAAATAAGTGCAAACAGAATGTGGCAAGTGAGAATGTGGCAAGGTTCTCACTAAAAAAGTGAGAACCTTGCCACGTTCTGTTTAAGTTGCCTTAACTAGTTAAAAAGAAGTGCTTTCAAAAAATAAAAATAAATTAGAATATATTTAAAAAAAAGAAAATATGAGTATTTTATGTAAAATTTTATCCTTGCGTATTTCTTCAAATGCTTTCATTATTTGTCCATTGATATTAGGAATAACTCTGAAATACATGTTACCTAAAATAATAGCATGCGATTAAAATAAAAACAATATTATCAAGCATTTTTTATCCACACTGACTTTAGTATGGATTAGTCCTACATGGGGTTATTCCAAACAAAGCATATTTATGTTTGATGTTTTTGTTTCTATGTTCATGAGAAAGATTAAATAAATAATTTTTGACAAATATTTTTAGTTATATTGGATTCATTGAGTCATATAGAGACCCATACGGTGTCAGAGGAGAATTTGAAGGTAAGCAAAAACAAACAACATTAAAAAATTCAAAATAATAGTACAAAAATAAAAGTTTTTATCTTGATTTTAAAGTTTTAATCTTGATTTTAAAGTCTTAATCTTGATTTTTAAATTTTTCTCGATGATATTAAGTCTCAAATAATAAGTCTATAACTAACAAAATAACTAACAAAAATCTTAACTTTTTTTTTTAAAATGTTTATGACAGAAATCATTTGACAAATATGTTTTAGTATTTTAACTTTACCATATTTTTATTTCGCATTATTATTTTATATGTTATAAATTATGATGGCCACTTTAAAAAAAAGAAGACCACTTTGGTATGACCACTTTGATGTTTCATATTTTAATGTGATAACTTTTAACTGCTTTACTTAATAGATGACATTTTTAGTCTATAAGTTTTATTTCTTTTGCCACACAGAGAAACATTTAAGCGGATTACCAAGGACATGGTGAGGTTAAACTTTATATTTCTTTAAGCACTCTTCCACTACCGCATACTATTACACCATTATTGCATATCCATGTTTTAACAAACAAGTTGCTTACTTAATGTAATTATGTGAAGGTAATGGTGGGAGTTTCTGAACCTAAAAGATCTCCAATTCTTCCTAATGTGAAAGTCTGTAGCATTATTTAGCATCTTACTAAATGGTTCTGTCCAGTGATAGCTGCTTTTAGTCAGGCCATCAAAGAACCTAATAAGATTGCTAAGCGTCAGTTTCAGTGTTTAGGTTACATATAATTTATTAAGGTTTTCTTTTTATATACATACATACATACATACATACATACATACATACATACATACATACATACATACATATTATCTCCTGGTAGCAATGTGAGAGTCCATTGTCTGAGGGAGGTATAATTTACAAGGAAAAATGCAATCGTTCGCTATTAACAAATGCTGAAAAAATTATTTTCATTCATCACAATTTAATGCTGATAATAGATTACATCACTATATATATTATAATGTATATTGTGATATATATAGTGATATAATCTGTTTATTATGGAATTTTTTAATCAAGGTATTTGGTATTTAGCCAAATAATTTGCAATATTCAGCCAAATACAAAACAGTAAAAATTAGTTCTGAATATACCAGATACCTCATTGCCAAATATTCATGGCATCTCTAATTCTCACCCTGTTCTCAGCTGACGTTTTCAAGCTGTCTATTAAAATCTCATTTTCTTGAGTGTGTTAAATCAAATTTTTTTTTTTAATTTCAGGATTTGTGTCAATGGTGAATAAAGAAATGAGCAAAAAGTTCGGACAATTAGTTGAAAGTGCACCATCGCTATTAAAGTTGCTACCTTGGCCAGCTGAGTATGAAAAAGATGTTTTTCTTAAACCGGATTTTACATCACTGGATGTACTTGTGTTTGCAGGAAGTGGTATTCCTGCTGGCATCAACATACCTAACTGTAAGATAATTTTGAAAACTTGAAAATTTATTAAAAATAGTATGTTGCTAAGATTTTCTGTAAAAAGTGTGTAGGCGTTTTTACACTTTTTTTAGAAAGAAATAATATCAATCAGTTGTAAAAATAAATACATCAGTAAAATTTAGGGATTAAAATGAACTTTTATAAATAACCAGTTAAAATCTAGCAGCAAATAATTATATATCAATTAGCACACTTGATTTTTATTTAGCAAATTAAAAAAACAACAAAAAAAAAAACAACAGCAATTAAGTCAAGTGTAAAAAGTTCTGTAAAGTTTTGGGGTGTAAAGTTTTGGGGTAAAGCAAATCAAAATAGTGAATTGTATCAGTGCCAAAATTCAAAATAGAAAGTTTGGCTTTGCATCTTAAATTTTGAAACATGCATTTTAGAGCGGTATGTAAGCACTTTTTGTTGTAATAAAACTAAAAAGTTTCATTGTAAAAAAATGTGCATTACAAGTGACAATTCAACTCATCCTCCAGAACTTCTTAAATACTCAACATCATTTATAAGAATTTTTTAAACAAATTTTTTATTAATTGGTTGTTTTTTAATTAGGTCTTTTTTTAATTACCCATTGGCTTGCATATTTCATTCATACCCATCAACTTGCATATTTCATTCATACCCATCAACTTGCATATTTTATTCATACCCATCAACTTGCATTTCATTCTTCCCAAATGTAATGGTAGTTTTTTTTTTTTCAGTTGAAATGAAGCTATTTTTTTCTATTAAAACTGTTTAAATTTAAAGATAAAAAATCTTTTTATTTTCGTTAAATTTATTTTTATCATTAAATTTATTATTTCGTTAAATTATAATCTTTTTCTTTGATTTGTATCATTTTTCATAGCAAAAATAACTAACCCCCCCCCCCCCCCTTCAATAAAAAAAATAATAATAAAGGAAAAAGAAGTAGTAAAATAATTAGGAAATTTTTTAATAATTTTCTAATTAAGCAGATACAGTGCAGATTTTATTATTGATTTTAGTATTTTTTTTTTTTTTTTTCTTTGTATTTTCTTTTAGCTTTGTTTTGGCGTTAGTCAGTTTGTCTAAAAATATTTTTTTATGCATGGACATAAACTTTTAGCAGGCCTTCCCAGGAAAGGCATGCATTGGCACGCTAATATAACTATATTATATATCCTGCTAATATAACTATATTATATAAATGATATAACTATAATTATAAATAGTTATATATGGGTAACTATAGTTACCCATATATAACTATTTCCAGAAATGAGCATACATTCTTTCATTGTACTATGCTTGATTCTGAGTTGTTCATTGGAAAGGATTTAACTGCTCTATTGGGTAATGACAAAAAAAGCACAAAATGGCTAATAACAAGATTAAATTATTTCTTTAATGTTTCAATGCAATACGGAAGAGATAATGGAATGATTGGTTTTTGCATAAAACAAACCACCTCTGAATGGTGTTGATGTCAAAATTGAAAATCTTGTGCCTCTTGAGCTGGTTGAGGGTTTTGTATTGGGCTGTCTATAAATTTCTAGGATTCTGTAAATTTAAAGAAAACCATTTTTTTAAAATTGTGTAAAACAATCACTGCTAAACTGAATAAAAAATTAATTATGTTTTTCCTTTAAATATGTTATAATTTTATTGTATGTTATAATTATATGACATAAAATATTTTATCAACTATTTTAAAAAGACATTATTTTTTTTAGATGATGATATCCGTCAAAATGAAGGTTTTAAAAATGTATCGCTGGGTAATGTATTGCAAGCTCGTTCTAATGAACAAGAAATTACGTTTCTCAGTATTCAAGATTGTGTAAGGAACTACAAATTTTTTACATATTTTAATACTTCTAAATTTTATCGTTTAAAGGTTTTAAATTATCAAGTATCAAAATGTATTTTATAATTTTGTTTTTTTGTGCATAAAATCCAAAAATTGTAAACTAACAATTGATCTGTGAATGGCAAGTTTTTATATTATAAAATATATTTTTTATTTATAAACACTATGAATCCTTAACTACTTAAAAAAGTTTATTTCAAACAAAATGTTTAAAACAAATTAAGTAAAAAGGCATCATGTGGCCATGACAAAATCAGGTATTCATAAAAAAAGGTAAAAAGATATTATGTCAATGACAGAATGAGACTTAATGCTTACTTTACAAACTTTAAATTGTGTTTAGTGTTTCATTGTTAAGTTACACATTCTTTATTTTATAAATTATGATATTTTCAGACATATTGACAGAAACTATTTTTTAATATGATTTCATACATAAATTTAAATTTTAGGCAATTATGACTAATTTGGTTGCTGATTCTGAATTAAAAATTCATTTCTAAACTTTTACCCACAAACTACTCCATGTAACTAAAAATATTTTTTGCACACATCATGTAATTATGCTTTCACCAAGCTCAATTACAAAACAATAATACAATAGTAAAAATAATTTATTTTAAATGACAATAAGAATGTTCTATGACTTAGCAAGTCACAAGAAGTAAGCCAGCAAAAATTGTCCATCATATGCAGATTAATTTGATACTTAGTTAAAATGCTTACAACTATTTAGTAATACTTTCATCATTTTTTTTATCAATATTTTATAAATGGTTTTTCTTTAATAAGTAAATTTCTTATAACTTATTTTCTAAGTAACAAGGCCAAGACTAAGGCCAGATGTTACAAGGCCAAGACCAAGGCCAAAAGTCACAAGGCCAAGGCCAAGAGTCATAAGGCCAAGGCCAAGAGTTTTAAGTTCAAGGCCAAGGTCTCCAAAATGCTTACAACTATTTAGTAATACTTTCATCATTTTTTTTATCAAGTTTTTTTTTATGGTCTTTCTTTAATAAGTAAATTTCTTACAACTTATTTTCTACCAGAGTTGTTAACAAGGCCAAAAGTAGCAAGGCCAAGGCCAATACTAAGGCCGTATGTTACAAGGCCAAGACCGAGACCAAGGCTAAAAGTCACAAGGTCAAGGCCAAGAGTTTTAAGTTCAAGGCCAAGGCCCACGCAAACATTTTCTAGACCAAAGATTTAAAATTTTGTCTTACGTTAAGACCAATTATTAATAAAACTGTATGGAACAATTGCTGTGAAAATAAAACCACGTTGTAAAAATAAACCAAGGTTATGCGCTGAACTCAATGAAGTCAATGAGAAAATATACTTGTAGATATATATGAAAGCCAAAAACAAAAATACATAAAAATAAAGAATTAAAAGTTTTAATTCTTTAATTTTATGTATTTTTTTTTTTTGAAGGCCAAGGCCAAAACAATCAAGGCCAAACCCAAAATTTTCAAGGCCAAGGCCAACAGTTTCAAGGCCAACTGTTTTAAGACCAAGGCCAAGGCCTTAATTTTTGGCCTTAAGGAAAGGCCAAGGACTATCAACTCTGTTTTCGTCAAGTAAAAGAAATATTTTTAAGGTAAAAATGTATTTTATAAAAATAAAAGCTGACAATTTTGGTAGTTTTTTATTTACTCACAAAGAAAAATTGTCACAACTATTACCTGTCACTACAAGTTTTATCTGTGACTAAAAAAAGTTTTATCTGTGACTACAAGTATTACCTGTCACTACAAGTTTTATCTGTCACTACGAATATTACCTGTCACTACAAGCATTGCCTATCACTACAAGTTTTATCTGTCATTACGAATATTACCTGTCACTTTAAGTATTACCTGTCACTACAAGTATTATCTGCCACTACAAGTTTTATCTGTTACTACAAATATTACATGTCACTACAAGTTTACCTGTCACTAGATGTTTTATTGTCACTAGAAGCATTACCTATCAATACAAGTTTTACAATGTGTATGGAGCAAGCTATTTTTCCAAGTTTCATATAAAAATCTCATGTAAAATAGTCATATAAATTATTTTTTTGATGATTTTATGAGTCATAATACATTTGCTGTCTTTAAATGTTTATTTTTAATGTAAGAAAAGTAGTTAACATTATTAAGATGTGCAACTAAAAGAGATCACTAATAAAAGAAATCTAAGCCACAATGGTTTGCCAAAGTTTTATCAGTTGAACATGACAAAGTATAAATATTTTTTAGTTTTGTAATATAATTAAAAAAATAAAATTGAAAATAAAAAGTTTTTAAATGTTTTTGTTGTCTCATTTATTCTCAATATTTATATGATAATAAATAATTTATTAGACTTTATCAAATGTCTTATTAAATCTGATTTTATTGTGACGCAACACAGATAAGAAACAATATCTGTTTTTTTACACATTTGTTTTGTTGGAAGTTGACAATAGATTTATTTTTAAACCAAAGTTTTTTGGTATAATGAATTTTTGTTTAAGAGGAGTTGTGACTGTTTAGGTTGTTTGCTTCAGAAGCATGATTCAATGTTGCCAGCTCTGACCATACTTGTGACATCAGTAAGGAAGGAGGCATGAAATTCTAATTCGCTGTGCTCTGAGACAAGATTGTGCAGTCTTCTTAGAGCACCTTAACAATCAGATAATAAAAGTACATATAAAAAATTTAAAAATAGACAATAAACCAAAAAAATCTTGGTCTAAAATATTACGTATTTTATATTTACTAAAACATATAATAATATTATTTCAATATAATAAAATTCTTGATTTAAGCTTTTTTGCCACATTGTTTTTAATAGTTGTAATTATCAAATTGTATTTTTTTTATATATTTAAGGAACTTTACTCCAAATACAAGTCACAATCTTTTGAAGTTCAAGTAGGTTTGCATGAGCTGTTAGGCCATGGGAGTGGTAAACTTTTTCACCAGGTAAACTATTTAATAACACATAAGATTAAAAGCATCTTTGTTTTATACAAATCGTGCAAGTGTTTTTTCAGTATGATTATCGTAAATCAATATAATATAATAAATATATGTTATAATATATGTCAATAACATTTACATTTTATTTTTTATTTTTCAAAGAATGTAGATGGCTCATTTAACTTTGATAAAGATAAAGTGAAACATTTAGAGCTAAATCAACCAGTTAGTAAATTTTATGTTTTTAATGTTTTATTTTTTTAAAATATAAATATAATTTTTAACAATAGTTTTATATTTGATATTGCAGATTACCAAATGGTACTTACCATGTGAAACATGGGACACAAAATTTAGCTCTATGGCATCATCTTATGAGGAATGTCGAGCTGAATGTGTTGGTTTATATCTTTCTCTGGAAAAATCTATTCTTAAGTAAGTAAATATTGTAATTCATGGTTATATTTATTTTATATTTTGTATAATAGTTGTATAATAAAGATTATAAAGTAAATGACCAAGAACTGTAACATGGTAAGTTTTTAATTGTGTTTTTCAAGGAAGCTTTTTAAATAAAAATAAGTTTTATGGGTTTTTTGAAAATTTATGAAACCAATATTTGTAATTCTCAAAATTGTTGTTGTTGTTGTAATATATTGCAAGTTCTTTTAATATTTCTAGACTATTTGTGTCTTGTTTTAACTCTATTTTAAAATAAATTTTTTTTTTAAGTATAAGAAATATTTTAAATTTTTTTAATATAAATTTTTTATATTTTTAATAATTGTGTGTGTTTAAAAATTCAGAAATAAGACAAAATTTTACAACTTGTTAGCTAAAATCATGTTTTAAATTCACAATACATGTGTTGCCCAGTTTCTTGTTATCTTTAAAAATAAAGTAATTAAATAAATAAATAAATTAAGGTAAATGAAAGTTTTAAAGTAAAATTATTTAATTTAATATATAACTAATAATGGTAAATATTACAAATAAATGGTAATTAATTACAAATAAAATAGTAATAAAGACATTTAAAATTATAAAAATTGAAAACAAATGAACATTAACTAAGATGGTATCTAGTCATCATAACTTTTTATGTAGAAAGAAAAGTAATCTAAATTATTTTTAATAATTTAATTTGTTAATATCGATATTTTGTCAAGGTTAATCTGTTTGTTCATATCTGGTTTATTTTGTTCTATGGACAAACTTTTTTTTTTTAAAGTTAAATAAATAATAGTTAAATGAAAGTTAAAAAAATAAATAAAAAATAGCCTAAGTACAAAAAAACATGTATGCATCAAACTGGATCAATGCATAACAGTAAAATAAATACACTTTTTTTCAACTACTTAGGAGAAGAAAAACTATATAAAAATTCTTTTTGTAATATAAAATTAAAATTTTATATTTTTCTATTGAGTTTTGAATTACATAATATTTGGATATTTTGTTGTCCTTTCTCTTTAATTTTATAAACCTCTCTTCTGGCACTTTTTATTCTACAATAATGTTAAAATTTTTTATTTATGTTCTTCAATAATGTTAAAATTTTTTATCCTTAACCAAGTTGTGATCAAGGTTAAGAAGCAAAGAGGGAAAATTTAAAACTTTAAGGGTGTGATCTTTGCATCGTTTGTATCACAATGAAATACTCTTTTGTGATTAATTGTTTTGCCAGATTAAAGGTGCAACTATGGGTACAGTTTTTTTAAACCAGACTGTGAGTGTCTTACAATTTAAATTTTTAAGCTTTTTAAAAGAAAAAAGACATTTTCTAAAAAATCTTTCCAAAATAATTCAAGTAGAAAAGAAATTTCCTTTCAAAAGTCTAAATATTTTTTTTTAAATTAGATCATACATAGTTTTATATTGATCTTTGTCCCGCAGATCAAATCACAGTCAAGTCATACTATATTTTAGATTTTTTTTAAAAAGTATGAGATAAGGTATGAGGGTATAGGAAACATGAGATATTTATGTTTGTATTGATTTTTATAATTATTATATTTACACGTTCTAACGTTTCTGGCCATTATATACATTGATACAGAAGGACATTTGAAGATGCATTTATGAATAATAATGCATTGAGTGTTTACACTTAATTCATTGAAGATTGTGGAGTCATAAACATGACTTGGTAATGGCCATTACAAATACAAATAAAAATTTCTAAGAGAGTTATTTCTTAATGGTTTTCAAAAAAAAGTTGTTTTTCTGCCTTTAAATTAAGAGTTTTAAGCTAACCATCTGAATTACCAGACTTAAAACCAACAGAACACTTATGTGAGATGCTAGATCATTTAATGATCTAGTGGTTTCCATAAGTGTTCTGCTGGTAAATTATTGAATAAATAATACCAGCAAGTGGATGTAGAGTTGTTATTGCTGTAAATAAATAAAATATATATATATAAAATATAAACATAAAAGTATAAATTAAATCTGTTATTGAACATTTAGAGTGTAATATAACACGTATAATGTAACTAGAACATATAGATTAATATTTCTTGTGCCACAATGTGACTTTTGCACATAAAAGTATAACAATAATAATAATAAATACATTTACAAACATAAATAATAATTTTTATTCTATATGACTTTGTTTCCTATATTTAATATGGTAATATTATTTTCTATATTTAACAATTTCCAATATTTAATATAGTAATATGTAAGTAATATTATGACTAACATCTCATTGTTTAAAAATCATAAGTTTTTTCAAAAAATAAACTAGACTGACTCGAAACTTTTGCAAAAAAATGTAAATGTGTATATGTTACATATATTATTTATCCTGTTAGAGGACACAGAGAAAATGTTAGAGGGCACAGAGAAAATGTTAGAGGACACAGAGAAAATAGTGATGCAATTAAAACCTTATAGTATTTTCTTTTTAAAAAAAATGTTGTTTACATATCTTTTAGGATTTTTGGGTTTGAGGAGGAAATCGCTGAAGATATACTATATGTTAACTGGCTAAATATGGTTAGAGCTGGTTTGCTAGGTTTGGAGTTCTACTCACCTGAAAGTAAAAGTTGGAAACAGGTTTTTTCTTTTTATATGTTTATATAAAAATAGTAAATTCAATAACATAAGTTTTTATTTACAATATATGTTATTTGCTGTTTATTCAACATTATATATATATATATATATA